CCATGATTTTTCCAGGGACTGAGGTGAGGCTGACTGATCTTTAGTTCCCTGGATCCTCTTTTTTCCCCCATTTTTTCTTAAAGACATTTTTTCTTAAACACTGTTTGCCTTTTTCCAATCATCCAGAACCTCTCCTGATCACAAGGGATCCTGGTTTTCCTTGATAAAAATCTAATTCTCTGATTAACCCCCCCCCCCACATCCATTGTTAAAATTAAATGTCCCCCAAAGTCCTGCTGGGTAAGTGCGAGTGTTGGGCCCCACCCTTCGCCCTCTCCTTTCCCCTCAGGAGTTTCCCACCCCTTTCTGCAAACAGCTCTTACAGGCTGGAACTCAGCCAGCCTGCAAAGCTCTTTACAAAATGGGGAAATCCATGGGTTTCTCTTCTAAAAAAGGGAAAATCCACGTTTCTCTGATAAAAATGAGAAATTTGTGGTCTTCTCTGTTTTTCCATGGGAAATGGAAAACCGGATCCCTGCTGATCACCATGAGATTTCAAAGATGATGGCCAGTGGCTCTGTAATCTCAACAGCCAACTCCCTCAGCACCCTCTGGCCCCATGGACTTGTATATATCCAGCTTTGTAAATAGTCCCTAACCTGTTCTTTCACCACTGCTGGCTGCTCACCTCCTCCCCAAATTGTGCTGCCCAGTGCAGTAGTCTGGGGAGCTAACCTAGTTTGTGAAGACTAAGGTAAAAAATGCATTTAGCACGTCAGCCTTTTTTGCATCCTGTCACAAGGTTGCCTCCCCCATTCAGTAAGGGACCCACACTTTCCCTGATCCTCCTCTTGCTACCAACATACTTGTCAAAACCCTTGTTACCCTTCACATCCCTTGCTAGCTGCAACTCCAACTGCGCTTTGGCCTTCCTGACTTCATCCCCGCATGCCTGAACAATACTCTTATACTTCTTCCCTGGTTATTTGTCCAAGTTTCCACTTCTTATAGGCTTCCTTTTTGTGATTTAGTTTCCTGAAGATTTCTCTACTAAGCCAAGCTGGTCCTTCTGCCATACTTGCTAGTCTTCCTGTACACTGGGATGGTTTGTTTCTGCACTCTCAGTAAGCCCTCCTCACTAGGTTAGGGAGCATGTCTGCAAAGATGCCCTTCCCTATCTTAGTCAGGTGGATCCCATTTATTCCCAGCAATTCTTCTTCTTGGAACAACATCCCATGGTCAAAGAAGCCAAAGTCCCACTGGCAATACCACCTGTGCAGCCAGGTATTGATCTGCAGGATAACCCTGTTCCTGCCAAGGCCCTTTCCCTTAACTGGAAGAATCAAATAGAACATGACCTGAGCCCTAGACCCCTTCACCCTTCCACCCAGAGCCCTGTAATCGCTTCTGATCCACTCATGGTCTCCCCTGGCAATACCACTGGTGTCCACACGGATGAGCAGCATGGGGTAGTACTCAGAGGGCGAGATGAGTCTTAGTGATCCCTCTGTGATATCTTGGATCCAGGTTCCAGGCAACCAGCAGACTTCCCAAGACAGTAGATGAGGTCAGCAGATGGCTCTGTCTCCCCGCAGAAGGAAGTCTCCAACCATCACCAACCATTGCTTTTCTTGATGGTGGTTGTCTTGATTTTTCCCAGCTTGGTGAGGTCTGGCCTGTCCTCCTCCACCAATGGAGCATGCTCCTTCCTCTCTGTTGCTAGTGCTGCAGACCTGTTCTCCGGACAAACCGCTGCAGGTGGAGGTGAAAATTTCTGCTTGCTGCCAGAGGTCACAGGCTTCCAGCTTCCACCCTCCTCTCTCAAGTAGTTTTATGCAGGACTCCATGTCCTCTATATTCTCTAGCACTGCCTCTGGCATTTCTCCTTCCACTGTCCTAGAAGTCTCCTCCAGTGTCAAAAAATCAATGAACTCCTCCATCGCAGAGGATGGTTCGGAGCCTCACCACCTCCTCCTGTAGCTCTCTTGCCCGTTCCCTGAGAAACACAAATCAGGAGGCACCACTCACACTGCAGGCACCCTCCGACCTGGCCATCACTGGAAGGAAGCTGCAGTCCCCAAAGTGCCAAATTCGGGCCTGGGTGGAAGCCTTGATGGCAAGTGGCCCTGCCTGGACACAGAACCATCACAGGTGCAAGCAGAGGCAGTGGCTCTGGCACTGCGAAGTCCTCCAGCCATTTCCCTAAGTCTCTTGATCTGCCTTCTCTCTCTCACTACCTTCCTTCCAAGCCCACCATCCCCAGCAAACTCACCTGGAAGCTGGCCTGTTTATTGCTCAATGGCCCCAAAGGGTTCTTTTTTTCCTGCTCCCGCACACCAAGCTGAAAGGCTCTACTTTCAGAAGCAGGGTAGGGCCAAACTAACCTGCAAACTGGCCTGAAAACTGCCTAGCCTGTTTACAGCCCCTGGCTCCGTGGTTGCTCAGTCTTCTTTTATACCCTGCTGAGCCTCCATTGGCTCTGTCCCCTTGTTAGGGCTTCTGTCAGGCCCTGGCAGCAATCACTCAGCCAGCAACACTCCCAGCTTCTCAGAGCACAAGCCCCAAACATGCACAGCCCACCAAACACTCAGCAAACCAAAGGCAGAGGGATCTTTGGTTGACTTACCTTCCCTAGGCAGGATCTGGTGCCTGGCTTCTCTTCTCCTTCCTCTTACTCCCAGCAAGCCGCCTGCAAACTACTTACCCTGCTTGCAACCCCTGGTCTGATGTTAGATAGCAACACATGGAAACTGTGAGAATCATTTTAGCTGCAACTACAGACAACATCAGTTGTTTTTATGCCAAAACAGTGAAATTAGCAGGTGCCTGGTGTTCAGATACAAGTGTTCACTGTAGCCAACGTGTGTCGTTCTTCCCCCTTGCCCCAGTCCTACACACCCAGCTCTGGAGATATAACTCTAAACTACACAGGTTTCTTCAAGCTCAAGCTGGAGACGAGGAAGGTGAAGAAGAGATCAGCTGACAAAAAGATGGTAGCGTAAGCCTGATGTTATTGTTGTGATGGTCCAGAAACTAGGCAAGAGCCATGGATTTCTTAGGTTGATCGCTTTTATTGGACCACCTACACAGTTGGGATAAAATTAGGCAAGGTTTTAAATGGAAGACATTCTTTGTCAGACCTACCTAGGATCGTGAAGCAGATGGATGCCTTAAGCCTTAAAACTAAAAATGTACAGCAATAATACAACAAACTAACTTGTGTGCAGAGAGAATGTTGGGTTAATGTAGTTATTTCTGCATGTATCCAAGCAAAAGGGTTTACAGGTAAGGACTCATCTCTAATCAAATGTGCAAGCCTAGAGAAGGATTAGTATTGGGTTTTTGGGGGGTTTTGTTTTATTAAAAGAACGAGATGACTGAATATAGCCACATGCATATTAAATGATACTGCTTGAAGAAACTGTCACTATTTTAAACTTCATAGTTCTGAAAAATTATCCTTTAAAAGGCTTTCATGTAGCGAAGACATGGCAACACAAGCAAACAACCCAAGTCTGCTGGGAATACCGTATCAATATCATTATCCCTGTACCTGTGATACAATTACACATTCATTTTGCTATGCCTGGAGAGCACTGCCAGCTACATTCAGGTTCCTTCTAAGCCCTGCACACATGATTTCCTGCTACTTCTAGGGAAGTCTTCCCCCTACTGGGGTAACCTAGGCACAGCATGAAGAGTATAGGTTTCCCACAAAACAGTACACCTTTGTTATTAGTCTAATTATGAGACAGGAAGTGCAACTGTGACCAAAAAGTAAGAAAAAAAAAGCTGTTTCTCTTTGCTTAACCCTCTTAAATGTTACCCGAGATGCACTAAGCCCACAGAGGTTCAGAAAGCTGCAATGTTAGAACTGCCCCTTTAAAGATGGTATTTTACTGACAAGAATGGATATGTGTATGAAGAAAATGGGGGAGGAAAAGGAGGAAGCTGGTGGCACAATTTCACTAAAGTGTAGGCAATTCCCCTCCAACTCCACATAACAGATTAAAAACGATGCACCAGAGCAAGAGTGACCTTAGGGCATACACTTGCAAGTACCACCAGAGTGCCCAAATCTGCATAAAATTACTTTAAAATTATCCCCTTAAATTCTTCAGATAAACTGGTAATAAAGTTCAATAACCCCCCCAGAGGAGTATTGTATTTATACAAAACAGCAGCAGGCAGTGATGATCTGCCTAAATAAACAACAGAACACAGCGATAACATGTCAATTCAGTACACAAAACAGGAAAATAAACAGTAGCAAAACCAACATGGTTTTCAGCAGTTTCAATTTACTGAAAGTAAAATCTTGAGGTGCTTAATACTTGTAGAGTTTCATTCAGCACTGACACAACATATTTGTTTGGTTTCTTTCACTTTTAATTTGCAGCACAAATACACGTGCTGCTAAAGATTTCCATCATACTGTCTGAGCAGATTCTCATTATACTGATGTGTTGTGGACATTTTACTTTCTCATTGCAACAGATTACAGAATTTATATACAGATTATAAAAACCAAAAGGTACTTTTGTACAGATCAGCCCTCCTGCATGTTATTCTGTCCTTAAAAAATCCCTATATTGTTTAAAACTATATAGAGCAAACATCCAGGAAACGGTATTTTTATTCTATGACACTGTGTTAATACAATCAATATACAAAACTTTTGAACTACTTAGACATGCAACAGAGGGACAGAATGAGTGCATTTGTACAGTACCAGGACATTCACCAAGATGACAGAGCATTGTTAGTAATTTACAAAATATACAAATATCCCTCAAATAAATAAATCCAACTCCTAAATTACAAGATCAATGACTATTGACATTCCAGTGTTTAAACTTCATACTCTGTACTAGATTTGCCACAATACTACAAAATGACAAACTGTGTGCATACTGTGTTAATTGATAAAGAGACTGTAAAACCTAATTAGTAAAGTATAAAATATATTTTAACAAACATCAGCCTTCTGTTTCCAAAGCTAAGTTTATTTTTCCCTTTGCACCACAAATATTTTAAGACTACCATAGTAATTTAAAGCAATTCATATTGGGTTTAATTCTGAACAATGGTTTCATTTTATAGTCTTACCTCTGCAATTGAAATGGAAGACATTACAAATTCAGGCAACATACAGATGTTCCAAGAACATTTCAAGTGATATCCTAAAGATGCAACCATGTATGTGCCTGTCCACTTAAAGTTTCAATTTGCATTTCCCCTTCATTACTGTGGCAATGCTGTACTATACAGTGTCCCAGTCAACTTAACTGCAAGGACTATGTTGCTGGGAAATCCCAAAAGACAGAAAAATGCTTAATTCAGGCTCTATCCCTACCCCTGCTGGAGTTTCTGGGCGCAATTTTTGTATTTCCTTAATAAGTTTCACAAAAGGAGAATCAGATTGAGAGGCAGAAATGGGCTACCAGATTCCTATGCAGGAAAGTGATCTCAAATCACAAAACTGAAATTTAGAGGGAACACTAAAGACCAAACCAACAAATAAGAACACATCCCCTCTACTGATGTAAACTACTAGAAGAAGTTCTGCCAATTCCCCATTACAAACAATACTTCAATTACACTGGTTATTTTGTGGCAAAGAACATTATTTTAGAAAAGAGCATATTTATGAACAGCAACTTCAGCACAGGCTGTATTCTAATGCTTTGCTGACATGGTAAGTTTGCCACATTTACCCTAAATACTGAAGCTGAAACTTCAAAGTTTAAAAATCAAGGTAGACTTCTAGTTTACGTAAGGACTTTATGCATACGAGTGCTATGCTGGCCCAGTTATCAAGTCTAGGTTTTTCCAAATATCTTATTTTAAAATATCAGTAAAAACAATGAGATGATCCATCTATTAGAAACAATCCATATGCAGAACAAGCCCTCTTTATAACCCTTACTCCTGTGAGGAGTCTTTCTGATTTCAATGAGAATACTCACGAGATTTGGAGATCAGGCCCCTAAGTGATCTCACTTTCTGCAACAGGCATTTTGAGCTTTTAAAACCAGTTCAGAATACCAACATGCATCTCTCTAGGATATGGAATGGCATTAAATAGAAAGCAGCATGATTTTGTTGAAACACGTGATTAAGATCTGGAAAATATAAAAGGTAACTACCAGCATGAAGCACTATGCAACACCGCATTCAAATATAAAGCTAGAAGATATCCAGTTCAACATGAGCTTAAATTTTATTCTTCCTTGTTAAAGATAAAAACCTCTAACTTCCCCATTTCAAAATAGTTAAGAAGCTGCTTTATTCAGCTTGAGTCAAATCACACATGAAGGCTGAGGTGTGTTAAAAGAAATTAAAGTATGTGTTAAATACAGTTTAAAAAGCTTAATTAGAGATGATGGTTCTTTAAAAAAATTAAATACTGTATATTCAGATTATTGGACAGGCAGTAAACGGAGTGACTGACAAGGCTAGAGCATTTAGTACCACTGTTAAACACAAATTCACACTGAAAAAAAAATCCAGAAACCCCAAACACAACAAAAGTGCCACTGCATTTAAAAGGGGGTAAAAAAACAATGCTGGGGTGTTCTAAACGTTTGTTTTGTTTAGTAAGATGCTTTTCCCCCCAGGACATGAATACTGAAAAATTAAAAAACAGCAGATACAGAATCATTTAGCTGTCTGATGGAAACTTTTTTCACTTCTCTAAGTTGTACATCGCATTACTCATTCCCTCAGTGAGAATTATTTAGGCACCAAAGCCATTTCTGATGCAAAATACTCCATGAAAATAGATACAAATAAACCCTACAATAAGTGGTACAGATAAATTCTGGACCAAAACACTAGTTCAGCATGGTCAGATAACTCAACAGTAATCATGCAAATTATAGACTGATATCAAAAGACTTATCCTAAAAAAACCGAGAAATTTTACATCATCTACCATACTCATATCCATCCTTCATCAGCTCCTGAAAAAGGAGAAGTAATAGCCAAATCTTAACTTTCAGAAAATGTCAAGTTTGCCCTACTTCTCATCATGGAAATAAGGGAACAGGTTCTTAGGAACAAACGTAACTGCTCCAAAGCGTGTTCCCAAAGTTAAAATGAAAGATTCCAGAGCAAATCACTGAAAAAATCCTAAATATATTTAAGTGATCACAGAAAGTATCATATTAATTCCAGATCCTTGTTAACGTGTCCACTAGATTATCATTTCTCCACAAAGTATGGAGTTGTACAAAGGGGTCAAAGTAGTATTTTTTGATAAATAAATGTATAAAGAAATAAACCAAGATTTTTCCCCATTTTAGCCCATGCACAGCTGAAGGAGAGATGTACATGCTGTGTGTGTTTTGAACATGAGTCTTTAGGGAACAGAATACACACCTGGAAAATAAAATACAGTCAGAATAGTGAGTTTTATATTTTTCTAAATTCGGTTACCCTTGAAAGCATTTTGAGCTGCACTTGTGGCTGCTGTAGATGCAGCATTTGCTGCTGCAGTTTGTACAGTTTTGTTGGACATCACACCTGTTGCAAATTCTTGCTGGGCTTTCTCAAAACTAGCACCAGTTGTGCGGTACAGGCCATGCACCTAAAAAAGGGAGAAAAGGAAGAGAGACACAAGGGTTAGGAATTTACAAGCTTTACACCAGCTCTATTTGTAAACAGTGTAACAGCAAACAGGAGGAGAAATTCAGTGCTTCCAATTG